AAGCTAGTGCCTTTTAGAAAAATAAAACTATGCTAGGAAGTTTCATTAGAACAGAGAATTGTATTATTATTGTGCTGGACTAAGAAGTTCTCATCTAGCCCGGCTGCTGTGGCTCAGTGTTTGAGCATTGACCCATGCACCAAGAGGTCGCAGGTTCAATTCCCTGTCAGGGCACATGCCCAGGTTGTGGGTCCAATCCCCAGTGGGGGGCATGCAGGAGGCAGCCAGTCGATGTTCTCTCTCATCGATGTTTCTCTCTCTCTCTCTCTCTCTCTCTCCCTTCCTCCCTCTCTAAAATTAATAAAGAAAAAAATATTTAAAAAAAAACAGTTTTCATCGATTGGTCCTAGAGTAACGAGCTGAGAAAATAATTTCTTACCTTTGGATTGGAAAGCCGTGAGGGATGAGATTTCTGAGGGAGTTACAGGAAAAGAAGGGATCCAGTTCCGTTCATTCCTGGAGAGAGTAGCCTGTCTGGAAACGGGGGAGAGAGAGGAAAAGCATCTAGTGTTTTGTGTATGTTTTGACTAAGTTCAGGTGGTATTTATGATGCACTAATTTGTTGTCCAGTTCTTGTCATTTAAAAGGCAGAGGAAGTTTTTATGTTTCGCATAAAGAGTCTGCTATTCCCACAGCATATTTGCTTTGTTTGAAGCAATAAAGCACAGTGATCCTCTGTTTCTTTCAGCAAGTGATTTTGCAGTATCTGTAGTTGAATGTGTTGGTCCCAGCCCTGCCCCTGCTGTTGAACCACATACCATTCAACACGTCACATCAGAGGAGCGCAGTGCTAAGACCCTTCAGTGTGACCTGGACGATCTCCTTGTAGTTTCATTTTCTTTCTGAAGCATTATTTTGACCTGAGCTTGTTAAACTATTTCTGAGAGAGAGAGAGCAAGTGAGCGCGCACGCTTGTCTGTATGGTTCTGTGTACCTGTGAGCATGTGTGTTTATATTACATTTTAAGAAGAGAAATGTCCATTGTTAGTCATTAGGGGAATGTAAATCAATAGCACTTCACACCCACTAGGATGGGTGTGATTAAAAACTGGATGAAAACAAGTATTGTTGCTCTGGCCGGTTTTGCACAGTGGTTAGAGTGTCAACCAGAGCACCAAAGGGTTGCAGGTTCAATTCCCAGTCAAGGACCTATACCTAGGTTACGGGTTCAACCCCTAGCCCCGGTTGGGGTCAAACAGGAGGCAACCAGTTGATGTGTCTCTCTCACGTTGATCTTTTGCTCTCTCCCCCGCCCCTCCATTCCACTCTATCTAAAAAACAAACAAACAAAAAAACAAGCACACAAACAAAAAACAAGTATTGTTGAAGATGTGGAGAAATTGGAGCCTTCTACTGCTGGAGGGAATGTAAAATAGTGCAGAAATTTGGAAAACAGTTGAGCAGTTCCTCAAAAAGTTAAACATAGAGTTACCACATGACCCAGCAGTTCTACTCCTAGGTGTGTGCCCAGGAGAACTGAAAACAACACCTGTGTTCCTGTAGAAGAGTTGTGCCTGAGTGCCCATGGCAGGACTGTTCATGTAGCCGAAAGGGGACACGGCCCACATGTCCTTCATCTGATGTGTGGACAAGTGCAGTATGGTATCTCTGTATCATGAAATGTTACTCTGTCATAAGGAGGAACTACTGTTATTAATACATGATACAACATAGATGAACCTTAAAAACTTTATGCCAAATGAAAGCAGCCAGACACAAAAGGCCATTTCAGATTCTGTTGATCTGAAATGTTCAGAATAGGCAAATCCATAGAGACAGAAAGTGGATGAGTGGTTGCCAGGGGCTGGGGGGAGGGGAGAGTGGGGAGCAACTGCTGATGGGTACAGGGTTTCATTCTGGGGTGAGGGGAATGGTCTGGAATTAGATAGTGGTGTTCATTTCGCAGTATACTCTTGTGAGTATACTGTAAGACACCGAATTGTACACTTGAAGAGAGTGAATTTCATGGTATGTGACTTATATCTCAGTTTTTAAAAAAACAAAACTTTAGCCCTGGCCGGTTTGGCTCAGCGGTTAGAGCATTGGCCTGTGGTCCAGAGAGACCCCAGTTCAGTTCCCACTAAGGGCACGTACCTCGGTTGCAGTTTGTCCCCAGCCCTGGTTGGTCATGCAGGTGGCAGCCACTCTACGTGTCCCTTTCATGTCGATGTCTCTGTCTCTCTCTCTCTCTCCCTCCCACTCTATCTAAACAAAAAAAATGGAAAAATATCCTCAGGTGAGGATAAAAAACAAACAAATAAAACAAAGCTTTAAGCATTTAGAAATCAGGCATTAGCAAAGTACTAACCTGAGTGATAGTTGCCAAATGACTTGAACAAACCTACTTACTCTCACCCCTATGACTTTTTAGGGAGTATACTTAAAATATATGGAACTAGTAAATGAAATTGACGAAATGCATGAAAATAGTAATAATGGCAATAGCATTAATCTATCTCAAATATGTACTGATTGATCTTTTCTTGAGTCTTAAAGAAAAACAAAATTTTTAAAAATCTCAGTGAATAATTTATGATTTGTTGCATTTTTAGTGCTTTGGAAGGTTGTTTTCAGAACAGTGTTTGATAATTCCCATGAAGACTGTAGTTTCTTTCTTTCTTGTGAAATTAATTTGGTTACTATCAGATGCCAAATTAGAAATATAATTTATAACTGTTGTATATTCTTGCAAGTTAATACTCTAAATTGTTCTAGAACATTTAATCTGAAACTTGAGATATATACCTCTCGAGTAAATGATAATAATGAACTATTTTCTGCTTTGTTAGTAGAATTGAAAATCACTATAATTAGTTTACTTTTTTTTTTATAAAACTCTTCTCTCCCCCTTGAGACACATTGGTTTCCCAAGTTATGAATTCAGTTTCTTTTGTTTGTTCTAGCCACTTAGTGTTTCTTATTACATACCTGTTAAATTTTTAATTTCTCATTAAAAGCAAATATGGCTCATTTTCCTATCAGTATTTCAAGAAGTCTTCCATTTCTCTCTGTCACAGCCTTGATAGAGAGCTGTCTGGTGTGTATTACTACATAATTAAAATGCCATTTTTTATCAAATAGTTCTGGCAAAGCAGCCTATTAATACATTTGAAATGGATCAGAGGTTAAGTTCTGTGAAGTTGAGATAAATGTTATAAACACTGTACAGGAACTGAAATGGTAAATGGAACAATGTGTGTAGTGTTCCGGGGAAGGTCGCTACAATTGCAGGAAAAGGTCTCAGAGGGAAACATCTCATAGGTATTCAGATCCTTTCACTCAGTCGCATTTATTGTACAATGAAGACATATTTAAAAACACTCATCTTGAGCCCTGGCCGGTTTGGCTCAGAGGTTAGAGCATCGGCCTGTGGAACACAGACACCTGGGTTCGGTTCCTGCTAAGGGCACGTACTTCAGTTGCAGTTTGTCTCCGGCCCTGGTTGGGGTTGTGTGGGTGGCAGCCACTTGATGTGTCTCTCTCACATCGATGTTTCTTTCTCTCTCTTCCCTCCCTCCCGCTTTATCTGAAGATAAATACAAAAATGTCCTCTGGTGAGGATTAACAACAGCAACAAAACACTCATCTGGAGTCATTGGGCAAATAATTATTAAGCAATGACTACATGCCAGTCACTGGACTAGGCTCTGGGTATTCAGTGGTGATCAAAATGGAAAAGACAGTTCTGCCCTTGGCCATTTATGCTGTAATCCTGGAGCTCCTGGCATGGGCGCCCCTGTGTGGCTGAGTCCAGTGACAGAGGCAGAGACCTGGTTGAGATGAGACCAGAGAGGTGGGCAGGGCACCGTTAATCACAAGTGTTCAGTTATGGCGGAGAGTTTGGTCTTCACTCCAACTGGAATGATAAGCCACTGAAGACTTACTGCAGGGGAACCCAACTGTAGCTTTATGACTATTATTCTGAGCAGCAGCAGGAAATGTAATGGTTGGTAGGAGAAAGAAGAGAAACAGAGAATCCAGTTAGTGAGTTTGTGGTAATCCAGACAAATTATGACAGTGGCCTAGACTAGTATAGTGGCCCTAGAGTTAGGAGGAAGTAGATCAATGACAAACTGGAAGAATTAACCAAGTCTTATGGGTAAGTTTTTGAGATAGTGATGTGATGAGGGCCAGGATGTGTAAAGGGTGTTTTGTACATCACTGACTTGAACAACAAGGTACTTGGAGATTCCGTGTCCTGAGATGGGGCAGAAGGGCAGACTTGGAAGGCATGGTCCAGGGTGTTTGGGCACATTGAGTGTGGGGGAGGATGTGTTTGTGAGGTGGGGTGTGCAGGGATTAGCCTGTTTTTCCTTGAGCTGAGTTCATTGGTTTATGGTCCAGATTAGAATATATAAATCGCTTCCAACACCAAACACGTTGTACCAGTTTCCAGCTCATAGATAAATTGCTGTAATCAATCTTGCCTCTGTGGTCTGTCTATAACTCCGCACTCTAAAACTTTCCATGTATATGATGGGCAGGACCAAACAACATTCATTTCACAGTTAACACTTGTTTATATATATGCTTGAATTTCAAAACTTGCTTGTTGAGTTTTAAACAGTTTGGAGCAAATGCTATCTAAAATATCAAAATTGAATATTTCTTTGAAAAAATGAAAAAGGCAAAGAATCCTTTTGAGCATTCTGAGTAGAAATCTTTATTAAATATTTATGTACTATCTTTGTAGGTTTTTAAAGAATTAGGTTACAAGTTTGTTTAAAGGGAAGACAAGTCATATTTTCATGGCATATTTGTCAGAGAAAGCATACACACCCATTGACAGGTCCGCTGGAATTTGGGGTAAATAATCTCTGTTTTAGAATGTAATATGAAGGAGGGACATCAGCCAGTGTCTTGAATGTTACTCTGGGAGACACTGAAAGTAAATGCTGCTGAAAGATGAAGGTGATAGATAAAGACATAAGTAGTATGTCTTATCATTGCATGAATTCTTAATTGCTGGCTTTTCATGTACATTTTATTTTATGTTTTAGGCTCAGCTTTCTGTATAGCTCCCTGGATTCCACATATTCCCATTACCGGGTTAATATCAACCATGCAGCGGAGATCAAGAGGACTTAATGCTGGGCTCCTGCTGCTGCTTTCTCAAATCTTCCATGTTGGGATCAGCAACATTCCACCGGTCACCCTGGCAGCTCTGGCCGTCAACATCTGGTTCTTCTTGAGTCCCCTGAAGCCGCTGCTCGGCTCCTGCCTCAGCGTGGAGAAGTGTTGCCAGGAGAAGGAGTGGCAGCGCCTGCTGCTGTCCCCCTTTCACCACGCGGACGACTGGCACCTGTATTTCAATATGGTCTCTCTGCTGTGGAAAGGGATCCATCTGGAAAGAAGACTCGGAAGCAGGTGGTTTGCCTACGTCGTCACCACATTCTCCCTCCTCACTGGGCTGGTGTACCTGGTCTTGGAATTTGCTCTCGCAGAATTTATGGACGAGCCTGGCTTCAAAAGGAATTGTGGTGTAGGTTTCTCAGGTAAGGCAGACCATTTCTAAGGCAGCAGGCATGAAGACAGGGAGAGAGGTGCGGCTGCTGTCCTTTTACGAAACTTGGGTCCCTGGTTGGTGAAGGACGTGAATTCTGAGTGCCTAAGGGCTGCTGGGGGATGTGTTTTGGAGAGGAGGCTGATTAGTGCACAGGAGGGACATGGATTTTGCTCTGCATCCTTTCCTCTTGAACAGTTTGGACTATGGTCTGCTCAAAGGGAGTTTTGTAGGAGAGGCAATACTGGAAATATGTTCTGGCTCCATCGTGGTGGGACCAGGGAGAAACCCACAGGTGTATTTGTGATGGGCAGTTCTGTAAAAGGATGAGTATGCCCCTTAATAACGTCGTTAAAATCAATGCATCACATGCTACCATGGCATGCTCACCATATTTTAGGAGCCAAGAGAAGTCACACTATATAACTCACGCTATTTAATTTTTATAACAGGTTGCTAGGGAGCTGGCGTTGTCTTGGTTTGGTAGACGAGGAAGCTAAGACTTAGAGAAGTAAGGAACGTTGCTCAAGGTTACACACCTAGTAAGTGATAAGCTGGAATTTGAACTGAGGCTACATGACTTTGACCATGGGTTGCATTGCCTCTCCCTTTAACCCTCACTGGTTCTTTTTTATTTTTATTTTTAAATAAATCTTCACCCGAGGATATTTTTCCATTTATTTTCAGACAGAGTGGGAGGGAGAGAAAGAGAAACATCAATGTGAGGGAGTCACATCGATTGGTTGCCTCCCGCATGACCCCCAATCAGGGCCGGGGACCAAACTGCACGCATTGGTTCTTTTTTATGTATATGTCATGAGACTGAAATTGCCATCAGGGCTTAAATTAGGTGTTCTGAATATTAGAGTGTGAAGGAGGGGGAGGGACAGGGTCCTGGAACAGAAGGGAATCTAACCCTTCCCTATACTTCCCCTGCTACTTCCCCCCTCCCTCTAAGAGGTACCCTCATGCATCTGTTGTGGGAGAAGAAAGAAAATATGTCCTCCCTTCAACATCTTTCCATAGAGGTTAAAAAAAATACATGTGACTTAACATACTTTTTTTCTATTGAGTTAAAATTCACATGGCACAAAATGAACAATTTTGAAGTGTATGAGTCAGTACCATTCCTGGTTTTTATCCTCATTTTATGTGTTATATATTTAGCAGCCTGCCGGAAGTCAGTATTAACTTCTGTTAAGAAACATCAAAAGAAGGCTTGCTTTGAACATTGTCTTTCTACTGAACGCTGGGTCGTCTTGTGAGGAATTATAGTGCGTTTCGAAGCAGAAAGTTGGATGTAGTCAAACAATCATTTTCTCTTTCAACCAGTTTTCTTTGTAAATGTTGATTATCTTCACATTTGGATTGTTGGTAGCTGTGTGCTTCCTTCTCTTTCAGGAGTGCTGTTTGCTCTGAAAGTGCTGAACAACCATTACTGCCCTGGAGGCTTCGTCAGGGTCCTGGGCTTTCCCGTGCCCAGCAGGTTCGGGTGCTGGGCCGAACTCCTGGCCATTCATCTCGTCACTCCGGGGTAAGTGTGTGTTCACTCTGGAGCATGCAACGGAAGGACCTGATGTTCTGTGGGAAGGAACTGGGATAATAATGAGGCAGCTGATTGTTTTTGACAGTGAAATGGATTCTTTGACTGTAAGGGTAGAATCAGTGTCGGGCATTCCTGAGTTTGCAGCCGGTCAGCGACCGAGCTGTGTGACTTCGGTTACTTGAATTACTCGAGTTTTGGTTTCCTCGCCTTTTAAGTAGGAAATGGAGGACCTGATATACAGATTTGAGGACCGATATTAACCAGACTATCAGATCCATTAATTCTAACTACAGTCATCCAAAGAGGCACGTGGACACCACATAAAAATAAAGATGAAAAAAAAACACTAGATATATTGGTCCAGTGCATTTAAACCATTTTAGTTGTGAATTGTCTCAGTAATAAACTCTTTAAACAGAAGGCTTTACTCACAAGCTTGATATGTAAAATGGATCAACTCAACTCTTTTGGGCCAAGAGGAAGCATGGGGCCCCATTCCCTTTGCTTTACCCTGTGTTGCTGAGTCTGCCTCAAAGGCATCTCCACGGACCCTAGAGCTTCAAGGAACACAGTTTAAGAACCGCTGGTGTCTAGGAATGCTGACAGATGAGGACAAGACATTCAGGAAGTCTGCAGGCCCATCACACAGCTCCTGGTGGACACCAGGCTGGTTAGCATTCAGGCCTGGCTGCCGGCCTGCGGCTCCTGCCCGGCGCAGGGGGCTTTTCACTAGGTCCCTTTCTCTGCTTTCTGTGTAGACAGAGGAGGGTGAATAGTATTATCTTTCCACTTCTGCCCCCAGCTTCACTTCTCCAAGTCTGTATCATGCGACTGGAAACCCACGGTTTGTTTGTTTATTTTTACTGTGGGGACCTGGACACTGTTTGGAGATTGGAGAGACCAGAAGAGTCAGGAAAAAGGAAGGAGGATATTTTTCTCTGCTGTTCTTGTCAGACAGGCATGTTTTTTTTGTTTGTTTGTTTTGCCTTTTGTTTGTGTGACTGTGTTGGGTGTCCCACTTCACTGAGAACATTCTCCTTGGGCCGAGTGTCAGCCCGGTAACCTTGAGTCCTTCTTTAATGCTAATCCCGTTCCGGGCCGCCCGGCCAGCTGGGCTGCACAGAGGCGGCCGGTGACCCCTGCACACCGCCCATTTGCAACTGGATTGTTACTTTGTGACAGTCCCTCCAAGAAAGCTTAACAGAATCTTCAAAGTTGTCTTTGAAAAGGGGTCCTGTAGTGTCTGCCCCTTATCTGAACAACCCTCCCTGTACCCTTGTCACTCACAGCTCCCCAACTTGCTTGATGTGACTTGCTTCTCTGCGTAGGGACTTGTATGTGACAGCAACACCCAACATTCATATGAAAATCACTCCCAAGGGTGCTTGAACTTTTTATTCTGTAATGAATCCTTTGAATGGCACCGCCTTTAATATTCTCCTTCAACTCTTTCTGAAGACTCTCATCCTCTGCTTTATTTTTTTAGGGTCCCCCTTTCTACATGGACAAGGCATGGTTGAATTTGTATGTAATATGCTTATTCTGCATGGCAGGACCTGGGAACTAAATGAAATTTCTTATCTTTGAGGTGTGAAAGAATACACCTTTTGTCCTTTAAGATTTGACTACCTTGTATGATACACTGCTGATCGCCAAGCGTCTCCTTAAAGCATGCATCCAGGTAGACACCGAGCTAACCGCTGGTCCAGGAAACCCGAGCAGCAAGTGCTTCTCTGAGATGGATCTTGGAAGAATGGAGGAAACCAGAGCTCTCTGCTCTACATTGTTATTCTCCTGGTGGTTGTCAATTAGAATTTTCATTGGGAAAACACTGTAAATCTTCAGAACAAAGCCTGCTTTGTTATCTGACTTAATGAGCTGCCCTTCGGGAGAAAAAATGAAATCTGCCAAGCAAACATTTGGTGGGCCTCTGTATTTTATGAAAGCCCTGGAATTAGTTATTTCCCCTAGTTAGGAGTTTTACGGAGGGAGCCTCTCTAAACAGCAACCCTCAGGCATTGTGCGGGGCGTGACCGGCACGGGGAAGGACCCACACTCGGCGTCTTTGCGGTGCTTTTGCTCTTCACAGTGCTTGTGTGTGTCTCGTTTCAGCAATCGCTTTGCCTCGCCTGTCGTTTCATTTCTCCGCGTGTCCTGGGACGCTGGAGAGGGTTGGGTCTGGTGGCACCGGCTCTGGAGTTGGTTCAGGAGGGAGGGGTGCGTGCTGCCTCCTCCCACACGAGGCTCTGGCCCTTCCCGCCTCTTACCCCCCACCTTCTGCTGATGGAAGGAAGGGGAATCTGATGCCAAGTGTTACTTACTAGCCCAAAATACTAGCCCAGATTATAAGCCTCTACAGTTTCTCTGTGAGCCTAAAGCCACCTAGTCTGAAAACTGCAGCTCAGAGACATGCAGGTTGTCCAGAGTAAGACAGCCACTCGGTGAGCACATGAGAGGGTTCTCGTCAGTTGTGCGAGGACCTGGGCGCACATGCTAGCCACGGGACCTCAGACAAGTCACACGGCCTCTCAGCCTCATGCCTTCACCTGTAAGAGGGAGTGTGCTTGTCTAGCCGCGGGACCTCAGACAAGTCACACGGCCTCTCAACCTCATGCCCTCACCTGTAAGACGGAGTGTGCTTGTCTAGCCACGGGACCTCAGACAAGTCACACGGCCTCTCAACCTCATGCCCTCACCTGTAAGACGGAGTGTGCTTGTCTAGCCACGGGACCTCAGACAAGTCACACGGCCTCTCAGCCTCATGCCCTCACCTATAAGACGGAGTGTGCTTGTCTGTTTCACGGCAGTTTTAAAGAGTCAGAGAGGTCATCCACATGACAGTGCTTTGTTAAGGAGGCAGTACTTAACTCATCATTTTTACTGTGAGATAAATCACCGAAAGTGAGCCGTGTCCCTGAAGGGAATCATGCCTGATTTCTCTTTCTTCCTAAAGTTAATAAAATAAACCGCTGTTAGTTAGTCTTGTTTGTTCGAGTTCTCTCCCTTCCTGTTCCTTGTTCCTACTTGACTTTTCCCTCGAGTGACAGCAGTCTAAAGTTCCCATGAGCTACTTTTAAACACAGAGCAAGCAGCCCGGCCACATCTGGACTCCAGGAGACAGTCAGGTACACCAGGGCAGTTCTGAAAACAGAGCCCCCTGGCTTTGGTCCTGCTGCACTGCGAGTGCTTGGGGGGGCGGGGGATGGCAGACCCGACTAAACACTTCTTGGCTGGATCGACCAAGTGAGAAAAGGAAATGTAATGTATTTTTTGCTTGTTCCATTTTTTTAATTGTAAAAGTTTTCCACCATCAAGTTGCTGAACCATTTGAAAGTAAGTTGCAAACACCATGATAACGTCACTCTTAAAAATGTTAGCATGAAAAAAAAAAAAAAAAAAAAAACCCAAAAAACGTCAGCATGCATCTCCTAATGGTAAAAATACGCTTTTGTATAACCACATTGCTGTGGCTGCATACTGGAGAAAATGAACAGTGATTCCCCAGTGTTGTCTAGTATTAATTAATTCATATTCAAATCTACCTAGTTTTCCTTTTTTAAAATATTTTTTTTTTATTATTGATTTTTAGAGAGAGAAGAAGGGAGAGAGAGAAACGTCTATATGAGAGCTCAACATTGATTGGCTGCCTCCTGCGCGCCCAACCACTGGGGATTGAGCCCGCAACCTTTAGTGCACGGGACGATGCTCAATGAACTGAGCCATACTGGCCAGGGCCCCAGTTTTCAAAATATCTTTTGTAACTATTTTGTTTTTTTGGACGAGGGTGGTGGTGGGGGTGAGGGGGCATGAGGTAGGACCAGATCGAGTCAAGGTTCACATGTTGCATTTGATTATTATATATCTTTGTTTTCCTTTACTTCATTTTTCCATGACATTGGAAATAGACATCATGGAAAGTTTTGGGTTTTTTTTCTTTTTTGTTTTCTTTATTGATTTTTAGAGAAAGAGGAAGGGAGAGGGAGATAGAAACATCTATGGGAGAGAACATCAATTGGCCACCTTCTGCATGCCCCCCACTGGGGATTTGGCCCACAACCTGGGTATGTGTCCTGACCAGGAATTGAACCAGCAACCTCTTGGTCCACGAGTCGATGCTCAGCCACTGAGCCATACTGGTCAGGTGTCATGGAAAGTTTTTGAAGAGAATAGATCTCTTGTTTTGTAGAATGTCCCATGTTCTAGATTTCTCTGGGTGTTTTCTTGTAAGGATATTTAACTTATTTTTCTGTGAACTGGAAGGTAGGGCTAATGGCTTAATTACATTCTGATTAAACTGTTTTGGGGCAATAATACTTCGCAGGGTGATGCTGTACACTTTGTATTGCATCACATCAGAAAGGATCATGATACCAGATTGCCCCTCTATTAGGAATTCTGAGCATAATCACCTGATTAAGGTAGTCTCTGTTGTAAGGGGACATCTATCCTTTGGTAATTGCAAGTTATATGTGGAGCGATATTTGGACATCATATAGATAGCTTGTCTTCAGTACCCTTCTTCCTTGTGGTTTAGGAACATTGATCACGGCCCTTGTCTGAACTGGTTGTTTCATGGGGAGTCGTGAAGGGGGACTTCCCGATCCTGACGTTCCCTCCACGAAGTTCACAGCCCAAGGCCGAGAACTGAGGAAGTGGCTGTTCTGTCAGGGGCAGATCTCAGTTTTGCAGGATTGAAACTTACTCAGTTTTGTGGGTCCTCGAGAAAGAAATACAAAATTAGAAACAGAAAAGTAAAAATGTTAAGTGAGAAAAGAAAGCCCAAGTTTATAAGTTTTTAAGAGCCAACTAATACTATACACATTACAAAATCGTAAACATTGTGAACTCCCTGGCGTGCCTCTGTAGAGTTTTCTCCCACAGGTTCTGCCTGTGTACACTGAACTCTTCTTCATGCGACGCTGACCGGGCATGGGCGTTTCTGGGGAAGGACTAGCATGGCCCATCAAAGTCAGTGTTTTCATTATTGA